ATTTTATTGGACATTTTATCGGAATTTATACAGAACAAAACATACCTAGATTAATTTAATAATAACCCCATTCTTAATCACTGTCATCTCTAAAACTTACCTGGATCACATTAATAAACCCTTCTACAACATACCTTGATGACTGATTTTACTGACTGTAATTTGTGATCATTATTTAACTGTCTATCGTGTCTATAGCTTTTTAAGCTCATTTAACGCAATTTTTATTGAGGTTTGCACATTATTGATGGTACAAAATTTCTTTTTATTACAGGCAAGGATTCTTTCTACAAATTCAAAGACATTTTCATGAAATTCAAGGACATTTTCAAGAAATTCAAGGACTTTTCAAGCACAAAATCAACATTTACTAAATACTACGTACTACTTCTAAGTACTTTTCAAGGACGCCCCTCAAATTCAAGGACTTTTCAAGGACTGTGCGAACCATGCACTATATGTGCGTGCGTGCGTTCGTGTGTGTGTGGTGTGTGTGCGTGTTTCTGTGTATGTGTGTGTGCGTGTGCGCGAGTGTGTGTGTTGGGGGGGGGCTGCACGCGCATGCGTGGGTGTGTGCGCGCGCGTGAAGAAGGGAGGGGCGTGNCCCGCCTTACTGCCGTAGCCCTCCACGGCCTTACTCTACCCTCCGAGCGGCCGTTAACTCTCCCTCCCCACGGCCTTAGCTCTACACCTCCACGGCCTTACTCTACCCTTCACAAGGCGCCGTCGTGTCACGAGCCTCTGACATTAGCCACAGGCACTACTCTCCCGCTGCGTCCACGCCTTACTCTACCCTACGACCTCAACGGCCTTACTCTACCCATCCCACGCTCACTACTACCTCCACGGCCTCACATCTCCCCTCGCCCACGGCCTTACTCTACCCTCGCCACGGCCTCACTACTACCTCCCCACCGGCCTTACTCCTACCCTCCACCCTTATCTACCCCCACGCGCTCACTCTACCGCTCCACGCCTACACTCCTCATCCCTCGCTGTGCCCCGACGTGCCTACTCTCGACCCGCCCGATCCGGCGCTTACTCTACCTCCACGGCCTTACTCAGCCAGCCCCTCACCCAGCTGGACCACGGGCCTCCACTCGTACCCTCCGACGCCCTTGACTTCGTGACGACTTGACCCCTGCGTAATGGCCGAACTGGTCGCAAATATAACATTCCCTAACCGCCCAAACGCCATGATCCGGCCAAAGTGGTTGAGAGTGACGACGCCTACTCTACCTCCACAGCACTACCACGTACCTACTCTACCTCCCACGGCTTTACTCTATCCGCTCCCATCGCCTCACGTCTACCCCTCCTGGAGCCAGCAGGCCTACTCTCACCCTCGGCCAGCGGAACCTTACTCTGAGCCACTCCCGGCGCCGCCGCGTTATTCTACCGTCCCCGGCCGTAGCTGGCTACCCGCAGCGTACGCCCATTCTACCCTCGATCACGGCCTGTACTCCCCTACCCCTCCCCGACGGGCCTTCACTCTACCACACACGCCTTACGTCTTAACACCTCGCACGGCGCTTACTCTACCCTCCGACGCGCTACTCTATACCTACCACGGCCTTACTCGTACCTCCCGAGTGCCCCAGTCTGGTCGTGGTTGGGTTACGACGTCGGGAACCCGTGGCCTATTGCCGCGCTAGAGGAGAAATTGCCCAAAGGGCGAAGATGGTCTGCACGTAAAACAGGAGCGATCCACAGCATGGGGAAAGGGAGATCGGAAATCGACGGCCGTTATGTAAGACAAATATAATGGAAACCGCGAGGTGGTAATAGTCCACACGACCTACTCTGCCCTCGAACGGCCTTACCTACCCCCAAGAGGGCCACAGGCCCTTACTAGGCCCGATATCGCCCCTCGCGAAGCCAACAGACCTAACTACGAACCCTCAAGCCTACGGGCCTATACTGCTACCCCTCCCACGCACTTACACGTCTACTCCTTCCCAAGACCTTATCATGTCTTACCTCATACCCGTTAATACAAGATCAACGGAGCACTTATAAACTACCCCTCCCACGGCCTTATCTCTGCGCCTCGCCACGGCCTTATACTACTACTCCTCTCTTGAACGGCGTTGCGCTACAGCGCCGGTTACACTCACGGCGCTTACTACTACGACCTCGATGGTTTTCATTAAAGCGGCACCACGCGTCCACTGAGCGCGCGAGGGACTATATAACTCCTACACCTGCCTGTCCTACGGCCATTACCGATTCTGTAATGATACAGACAGGAAGTGTAAATGAAGAAACCGAAAGTCGTTGCGTCCGAAGTGGATGGAAGACAAGGCCCGTTCCAGACGATATAAGATACGGACCCTGGATACGAGGTCCCAGGAATTACCAGATAAGGTATAAGCGCATAGACGGGTAGAGATGTCCGACAGCCCCGAAACGCAACGGTGCCCTACACTCTACGGCCTCGCGCACGCCTTTCTCTAGCCCTCCACGGCCTTTACTCTACCCTACCACGGCCTTACTCTAGCGCCGTCCACCCACGCTCACTACCCTCCCACGGCCTTACTCTACCCTCCCACGGCCTTACTCTACCCTCCCACGGCCTTACTCTACCCTCCCCACGGCCTTACTCTACCCTCCCAGCGGCCTTACTCTCCGCCTCGTCCACTGCCATTACTCTACCCTCCCACGCCTTACTCTAACCCTCCGCGCCTTACTCTACCCTACCACGGCCTACTCCTAGCCCTCCCACGGCTTACTGCTACCTCCACCCACGGCCTCACTCTAGCTCCACGACTTACTCTACCTCCACGCCTACTCTACCCTAAACCACGGCTACCTCTACCCTCCCCACCCACTGGGCCTCACTCATAGCCCTCCCACGGCTTACTCTACCCTCGCCACGGCCTACTTCTACCGCTACACGGCCTTACTCTACCCTCCCACGGCCTTACTCTACCCTCCCACGGCCTTACTCTACCCTCCCACGGCCTTACTCTACCCTCCCACGGCCTTACTCTACCCTCCCCACGGCCTCACTCTACCCTCGGCCCACGGCCTTACTCTACCCTCCACGGCGCTCACTCTGACCCTCCACGGCATTACCCGACACCCCAGAGATCAGGCCTCACGCCCGCCCGCGAGAACCCCTGTATCGGTCCACAGGGTCTCGCCCGGAGACAGGTCCCACGGCCTCACTCTACCCTCCCACGGCCTTACTCTACCCTCCCACGGCCTTACTCCACACGCCCGGATACCTCAGACCGACGGCCCACTCTTACCCCCCACGGCCTGTACTCTACCCCCACGGCCTTACTCTAGCCCTCGACCACGGCCTTACTTCTACCTCCCACGCCTTACTCCTACCGCTCCCACGCCTACTCTACCTCTCCCACGCTACTCTACCTCCCCGGCCGCTACTCTACCCTCTCAGGCCTACTGCTACCCTCGCCACGCCGTACCTACCCTCCACGGTCTCCTCTACCCTCCCCGCCCTTACTCCCTACCCTCCACGGCCTTACCTACCCTCCACGGCTTTTACTCACCCTCCAACGGCCTCTACTGGCCTAACCTCATCCACGCTTACTCCTACCCTCCCACGCCTTCTCCCCCTCCCACGTGCCTTACTCTACCTCAGGCCTTACTCTACCCTCCACGGCCTCACTCTACCTCCCACCACGGCCTCCCTCTACCTCCGCACGGCCTTCTCTACCCCTCCACCTTACTCTACCCTCGCTACGGCCTTACTCTACCCTCCCACGCTCACTCTACCTCCCAGGCTACTCGTACCCTCAGCCACGGCCTCACTTCTAGGCCCTCCCACGCCTCACTCTACCCTCCCACGGCCTTACTCTACCCTCCCACGGCCTTACTCTACCCTCCCACGCCTACTCTACCCTCCCACGGCCTACTTACCCTCCCCCGGCATATTCTGCGCGCGCGAGTGACACTTGAGCGCCCTCATACCCCTCTAACCCCCCCCCACCATGTCCTCGCCACCCCATACCCCCCTTTCCCCGTATTCTGTAACTTTCGACCCCCTTCCATGACCTCTTCCACCCCCCTCACTATGCAGGCCCTCCCCGTGCCTCCCTCCTACCTACCACCCCCTCCCACCCCTGTACGCGCGCATCACCCCCATGTCTCTCACCGTGCAGCCCTCCCCCTGCCTCCCCTCCCTACCTACCACCCCTCCCACCCCTGTACGCGCGCGTCACCCCCTGTCTCTCACTATGGCACGCCTCCGCCTGCCTCCCTCCTACCCTACTCACCACCTCCCACCCGCTGTAACGCGCCGCGGTCAACCCCCATGTCTCTCACCGTGCAGCCCTCCCCCTGCCTCCCTCCTACCGTACCACCCCCTGCCCACCCCTGTACGCACCATCACGCCCTCATGTCTGCTCACCGTGCAGGCCTCCCCCTGCCTCCTCCCTACCTACCACCCCCTCCCATCGCGCCCTGTACGTGGCGCGTCACCCCATGTCCTTCACCATGCAGCCCTCCGCCCTGCTCCCTCCTACCTACCACCCCCTCCCACCCCTGTACCGCGCGCATCACCCCATGTCTCTCCCGGCAGCCCTCCCCTGCCTCCCCTCCTCAGCTGGCTTCTTTATTCCTCATCGGCCACAGCATGCGGGCGTGGCCGAGCCGGCGAGTAGTCGCGAAGCAAGAGCCACGTTGTCGGCGCGGTAGAACGCAGACAGCGCCTTCTCTGCGTTGGGCTCCATCGCTGCATACAGCCGACCCTTGCTGCGGCCGAGGCACTTGGTGTGGTCGTCGTTAATCACCTGACAGTAGAAGCCCTTATTCGGGTCGTACCTGCAAGATCCTTAGAGAGTTAGTTCTGCTCCACTCTCTCTGTCTTTGAATCTCTCTCTCTTTCTCTGTTTTTGCCCCACCTCTCTCTCACTCTCTCTCTCTCTCTCTTCCTCTCTTTTTGCCCCACCTCTCTCTCACTCGCCTCACTCTCTCACTCTGTCTCTCTCTCTCTCTCGTCTCTTCTCTCTTTTTGGCCACCACCTCTCTCTCACTCTCCTGCTCCCTCCCCTATTTTCGCCCCGTTCTCTCTCAGCTCTCCTCCCCCTCTTTTGCCGCTCAACCTCTCTTCTTGCACGTCGCCTCTCTCCCCCCTATTTTCGCCCCACCTCTCTCTCACTCTCCTCCCCTCTCTTTTTGCCCCACCTCTCTCTTACTCTCCTCTCTCCTCTTCCCTCCTCTTCTTGCCCCACCTCTCTCTCACTCTCCTCTCTCCTCTTTCCCCCTCTTCTTGCCCCACCTCTCTCTCACTCTCCTCTCTCCTCTTTCCCCTCTTCTTGCCCCACCTCTCTCTCACTCTCCACTCTCCTCTTTCCCCTCTTCTTGCCCCACCTCTCTCTCACTCTCCTATCTTCTCTTCTCGTTTTGCACGTATGTTTATAACAAGACACACGAGAGACAGACACGGACAACAGAGACCGAAGCAAACGTACTTGAGGTTCTTGTCGTATGGATAGTAGGGCTTCGCCTTCAGGAACCTCTGAACTATCTCCATCACGTGCACCGGATCCAAGCGCAGCTGATCGCCGTCCAGGATCAGCAGCTGTAACCATGGCAACGGAAACGCTCTCCTTAACAGACCGATTATTCAAGCTTTTTTTTTTTTAGAAAAATGCTGATCAATATGCAATAGAATACAAAATGCAGATTTTTAATGAAATTCGTTAATTGGATTACACTTGAATCCTGATTTGCATATTCTTGTGACACCTCTAAAGAGCTGATGTGTAATTAAGGATAGTTGCAGCAATATTGTGATGTTATTCCTCACCATGATGACATCATCATTATCATCCTCCTCATCATCATTGTCAGCATCATCTTCATTATCACCATCATCATCTTCATTATCAC